TAGCAGCGGTGCCGCGTCGCGCAGCAGCACGTGAGAGCAGTCCATCAGGAGCACGTCGACGCCGCTCGCCGCCACGGCGGCGGCGGCGAGGTGCCGCTCCGCCTCTGCTCGCTGAATGTGCCTCGCCAGCCGCGTGCGATTGAAGTCGGCCATGGCAAGCGAGCCGTCGACGCTGCGAACGCCTCGCGCTGTCAGGTGCGCGTGCGCCTCGGCGTCGAGAGCGTACACGAGAGCATTCTTTAGGCCGAGCCTCACGAATGCTCGCATCCAATTGCTCGCGATCTCGCGGAAGTCATAATCGGCGGCGCACATGTACACTAGTCCTTTGGAAGCAGCATCTTTCGCCGCGGCCGCGAGCGGTGCGTACAGCGGCGAGGCGGGGTCCGGCTCGTGAGGGTTCAACTTGAGGGACCCGCCTCGGATATCGTATGGGTTTGAGCCGTGTGTGATGCCCTGGGCATTTCCCTCGCCCGGACGGCACGCTCGTCCGTCGCAAACCGTCTTGTGCGGAGACGTGGCGGCGAGGTGGCAGAGGGTGAAGAGGCTGAACATAGCAACGCAATGTCCGGCACAACGACAACGGAAAGGGGAGGGTGGTCGCGATGTGGCCGAGTTCCAGCGTCAGTCCGGCTCGCGGGGGGCGCTGAACGGCTTCCGTGTGCTCGATCACGAGGCTGTACCTCGGCGTGCGTCGGCACAGGACAAAGCGGCCGAGTTCCAGCGCGTCAGAAGGCACGGGAATTTCTTTTTCTCGGAGCTCCCAAATTCCGTCCGGAAAAGCCTGCTCCTGCAGCAGCTTCACCGAGATACTGCCACTGGAAAGGCACCTCGCCAGGAGCCCGCATTTCCAGAGTTTCCGACGCCCGAGTGCATTGAGGTGCATGAGCGTCACAGCTCGGTGTACGGTGATCGCGCCGGCCGGACATCACTGTGACGTCCGTTCCGGGCATTTGAACGCGACCTTCAGGGGCAAAGACATGGGCTCTATGGCTCAGACTGGACTCCTCTTGGTCCCTTCTGATGCCCTAGGCCAACACCTGGGCCTGTACCCGGGGTCCTAGGGGCCGGGCAGGATTTGCCCCCCGAAACTGGCATGGAGGCCAAGCGCGTGTCTGAACGTGTGGAGCCAGTCGTGCCGCCCGCGGCTCCTGAATTTTGAGCAAT